CCCGATGTTTAGCCTAACCCCCGGTAAGACCAACGACCGACTCAGACAATGAGCTGATACTTATGGTGGGACACATTTAGATTGAGTTGAGTTGGTAATGGAAGGACGTTATTGTTCATAATTAGATATCGGTACGTCAGTAATCCTAACCTATTGACAGACTTCTTGTTTTCATTCACGATTTTAAAAAAAAAATGGAACTGTAAATATTTTTTTAATTAATATACAGCCCCTTTAAGAACTAAGCTGTTCATTGATTTTTCTGTCATGTAACATTCCGCGTACCAAAATTAAGGAATTTGAATGAGGCCAAAGAAATGAAAATAATTAATATCAAAAAAGCAATTTAAAAAAAATAATAATTTCTGAGTAAACCATGTTACATTATTAAAGATTAAAAAAATGAGTCAACTTGAGGGCAATACCCTTAAATGCCTCGTGTACTTTAAATCTTTTGTGTTGCTTAGAGCCTCACAAAAACTAATTGCAGATTTTAAAACGAAATACCCTGACAGCATTCTAACAAGAACGTCTTCACAAAATCTTTTCGTTTTATGAAGTCGAAGGTAAACTCTCAACAAAAAAACCTTTAATGTGCCTTCCATGGATTTGTTAAATTCTTATCATAACAAACAAGCCAACCATGACAATATTTAAATGAAAAATTTACTCTATACAATTGAAATAAAGACTTTAAATATAAAACAAAAATATATGTTTGATTTTTTGTTTATACTGCAGCGTAACAATGCTCAAATGTTATGATAAGAGTTTAACTCTCTTTCATTTCAGCACACCCAGCCTACAGTTATGCAAATGTGATGTCCATCTTTGTCACATTCAAAATGTGATTCAATAAATCTTTCCTATTTCATTATAGCGAAACAAGCCTATAGCTTTCATAAAGTTTCCAAAATAAAAGAAAATTATTGTAGCATATTCTTCAATTTTTTTCTTTTAATTATGATAAAATCCTAATTTGTATCTTCACTATACAATTAATAGAAACCGCATTCAGTAACAGTTCAGTTGGACTAGGCATGATTCGCTAGATCATTCAGTAACAGTTCAGTTGGACTAGGCATGATTCGCTAGATCAGCTTTTCACCAACATTTTTATTTTGGCGGACCAGTGGACTCGTTTTAAAATTTCCTCAGTGACTAGCGCCAGATTTAATATTTACATTGACTTTTTTTCGACAATAAATATTCATGTTGTGCGTACCGGCAACGTAAGGTTCGCGGACCAGCACCTGTCCACTGACCACCATTTGAGAAGCACTGCACTAGATCGTTAACCCCCCCCCCCCAACCCCAAACCCCCCCCCCCCGCTACTGGGCGAAATCGTATGTAATACACTGAATCGATTCTGCTGATTCCAAATCTGAAGTCAGAGTTTGTATTGTACATTAGGACATCAGGATTTTAGGTCATGCAGCCTATAATTCCAAAATTAAATTATGCATTTGGCAAAATTTTTACGGAACAATGTTAAGAGAATTCATAACAACAAACCCAAAAATATACACTTTTATAAGTTGAAATTAATAATTAATATACATAACTTTGTCTATTAAGAAAAAAAAACGTGTATAGAGAGAGAGAAACTTAATTTTATTTTTTAAATGCACAAATCTATTAAAAAACGAAATGAAATTTTAGAAAAATGATGCAATTATGAAATTATTTGTGCATCTGTATGCACGGTGGCGTTGCTAGGATTAGTGATTTCCGGGGCGGGCCAAGCTTTTCGCCACCTTACCCAAGATAAAAATCTGCAGTTGGCCTAAAAGATCCCCCCCCCCCTTTTTTTTCCACACGCCAGTGTATTAGCATGTTGCACAGTGTATTAGCATGTTACCCAGTTTATTAGAATGTTACTCAGTGTATTAGCATGTTACTCAGTGTATTAGCATGTTACTAAATGTATTAACATGATACTCAGTGTATTACCATATTACTCAGTGTATTAGCATGTTTCTCAGATGGAAGCATGTATTGCAACATTTCGACTCCAGATTGACTCTAAACGAGTTAACTAAGGCTTTGGCCACTTGCTCTTTGACAGCCAGCTCAAACACAATCAGAAGCACAAACACGCCCAAAAAGATGGAGGCATTTACTCATAACAGTGATTCCCAAAATATTTTTCCCAACGCACCGAAGAGCAATTAAAAAAAGGTTTAATGTCCTATTCTTAGTAGAAGATCTTTTTTTAAGGCGTATCTAACTGTAGCTTGGTAGAAAAATTAATTATTTAATCTCGCTGCCGATTTCGACTTTGAGCTTCAACTCTGCAATTTGAAATAATAAATATCAAAATCAATCAATCAATCAATCAGTAGGCAGATTAATTTAAATTTTTAATTGAAACATACAAGTTACCATTACAATTAGATCTAGGACACACAAAAATCGCCTTTTAATTGAATCAAGTGATCAAGCAATAGCAGATGTACACATATTCGATTAAACGAAGTAGGCTTTCTAAAAAAAAAAAATTGGTATCCTTTTTTGTAAAAGCATTCCGTCTTTTTTTTTTTTTCAATTTTACATATTTTTAAAAATCTACACGAACTCTTCTGGATTTTAAGGCAACTTCTCTATTTTGATAAGCAATCCCTTCATTGTAAATGTACAGCGGCCAATTGATTACTCACTATATCCCCATAAATCAAATCCCATTGTTGCGCGGTCCCAATGATGTTGTCACACTTGAGTAAACATTAGCACGCCGCCTTCAGAGGTAGAGACGTACCACTCTCTTTTCAATACGCTTGTATGATGTGCTTAAGGAACCATAACTCCGGGTCATGAGCCGCAACTCTGGCCGGCCATTACCGGCTATTGTTATCTCCCGACCCGTCCACGCATGCATGAGCCCGTCTTTCCTTGACAGCTACGGATGGGTCGCACAAAGCATTATTATCTACTCGTCATTTGATTGTCCAATCCACATGTTGGGCTGACCGAAAAATGAAATCCGCGAGGTAGCCTATAACGTTTTGAAACAGCTGCGCCAGCACAACCACACAGAGGGCCCCTCGACATAGAGGGGCGCTACGTCATAGGGAGATAGGCTTACGTAACTGTTTCCCAATAACTTTTGTCATACATTCCACCTGAGCACTTGAAAAGTTTAATGGTAATCCTTAGAAGAAGATATAATTTTAAAAAAAAATACAGTCGTAGGGAATTTGGAGTTTAATATCGCTGCCTGTTAAAACCTCGAGATTCAATGCAAAAAAGATTAACGCTCTAAGATTAACACTCTAAGATTAACGCTCCAAGATAAATGCTGTTGATTAATGCTCTAAGATCAACACTCTAAGATTAATGCTCTAAGACCAACACTCTAAGATCAACGCTGTAAGAGTAACGCTCTAAGATCAACTCTAACATTAACGTTCTAAGATAAACTCTTTAAGATCAACACGCTAAGATTAACTCTCAAAGATTAACGCTCCAAGATAAACTCTATAAGATTAATGCTCTAAGATCAACACTCTAATTTTAACGTTTTAAGATCAACACTCTAGGATTAACGCTGTAAGATCAATGCTCTAAGATTAAACATGTATTTAGAGAATTATATATGTAAAAGACAAACAATAGCAGAGGTTAAAATTAGTCTTCAAATTCCCACCCACGTTAGCTGATATTAACTGATATGTATGGTCTCAGTCACTGAATATAGTACATCATTTCATCGATAAGATGGGATTATTGTGCATTATTTCATTGATAAGATGGGAATATTTTACATCATTAAATTGATAACATGGGAGTATTGTAATCATTTCATTGATAACATGGGAATATTGTACATGATTTATTGATAACATGGGATTATTGTACATCATTCATTGATAACATGGGATTATTGTTCAACATTCATTGATAACATGGGATTATTCTCCATCATTTCATTGATAATATGGGAATATTGTACATCATTTCATTGTTGTTAAGATGGGATTATTGTGCATCATTTTATTGATCAGATGACCCAAGTACAACACATATTTGTATAATGTTTAAGTCGAAATTATTTTTAAAAAACTCGTCTCGTAATATAATCTACTGATCGGTAGCATACATGCAATCAAAGAAATGACATTGGGTTTCTTAATAACAGATACATGTTTCATTATTTTTTTTTTCCTTCTCCCTTTAAAAATGTATTAAAATCTTTAAAATATCTTCTGAATTTCCAAATAAATCCTTTCATTAGATGAGCAAGGAATTCATAATAAATGGAAGCTGACCAATAATTAACTACCAATCACATCCCATTCTCGTGTGGTCCTGGTGATGTTGAAACGCTTGAGTAAACAGCAGCGTGTCATGTCCGTAGGTATGTGGCGTACCGCTCACCTTTCAAAGAGCCTTATGGGTGGGCTTGAGTAAACAGCAGCACGTCAAAGTCATGTCCTTAACGTCCATAGGTGGAGACGCACCGCCGTTTCAAAGCGCACGAAGGACGCGCTTGAGTAGCCAAAACTCGGCGTCATGTGCCGCTTCTCCGGCTGGTCATTACCGGCTATTGTTATCTCTCAGGGGCGTTGCTCGTCCGTGTAAGCTAAGAAAAAACAACAGTGAGCACGCGATTTCGGGAAGGCGTACGGATTAGTGTAAAATAACAATGATAGCGTGTTAGTAGTTTTTAATCGTCTCCTTATCTTGTGATTGGTCAAACTTCCAACAGACCTGACCATGACGTTTTCATGGGGTCTGACCACTATATAAGGTAGTTTAAATCTTCTATAGTCGACATTTCGTTTGGATTACCTGAAGCTTTCACTTCAAGTTAATATTCGAAATATCTCATTTGTGTCATCTATCGTTTATCAATATCTCAATCATGTGCAGCATTTCCACCATGGGTTCATCAGACGACAGCACCAGTAGTTCGACCATGTCAGGCTTGTATGACAAGGATGTCTTCCAAGTCTACAACCTAAAACGTGAAGGAATTCTTGCTGAGACAAAGTGTGTTATCTACCTCGCTCATCTTAGGTTCGACAAGTCAGTCAAGAGAGTTGTCAAGGTCTCACGACGTGACGAAAAGTCAACGAAGAGATTCTTCAACGAGTTGAGCTTGTTGAAAGGCCTCCAGCATCCCAACGTCATGACGTTTGAGAAGGCGGGATCGTTTTCCGACCACCACGCCGTCATCATGCCCTACTGTAATGGCGGTGCCCTGTACAACCTGATAGGAAAGATAACAATAGGAGAGATTGAAGATTATTTCTTACAGATGTGTGGAGGCCTGAAGTACCTGCATTCCCGAGGAATCGTTCACAGGTACATCAAACTGGACAACATTCTTGTCAACGGTTCTCAAATCGTCATCACAGATTTTGATATGTCAAGCGGGATCATACCTGGAACGTCTCTTGTCCAGCATAAGATGGGAACAGAACCCTACATGGCCCCTGAGATGATTGCAAATCCGAAAGGATATTACGACGGTTTCAAGGTAAGTTGCTGTCATTTTTTTTTCCATGTATTCCAATTTTATTATGGATTTCGAAATTTAATTACGAAAGTGTAATCGATTGTTCAGTTTTGTTTCTATTGCATTCATAGTTAAGGACTTTAAAAAGATCGTATTTTCATTTTATTGATCAGAGTATTTAATAGACTGTTTAATGTAAGTCAACTCAGTTTTTACAGTATGTCAATATAACTTAAATATGTGTTTTAAACCGTAATAAACTTTTACAGACTCCTACATATGCAATAAAATGAAACAATAAATGGAATTGAAATAATTATTCCATAAAATGGCCACTTTAAATATAAGTAGGAATTTCATTTTGAGACAGTTTAAACCGCTCGGTCACTCAAACCCTAATAAGACTATGCATGCATCTCGTGTTGTTATCATTTCCCCAAATGTTTATGGATGTATCTCAAACTATTGTTATCTTCACTTCCCCTAATTAGTTAATGCATGTACCCCATGCAAATCACGATTTACCCCCACCCCCCCCCCCCCCCCCCCCTATTACCTGTCTGTGGTGAGAGGGCTGTCCTTTGTTTTCCCACTTCATTTTTACAAAGGTATTTTGGAAAACTTGTTGAATCCCGACCCTACGTACCGATGGGATATTTACAGGTTAGTGAGCTCCTTGGGACAGGTCGCTTGGCTCGCTGAGAGGGTTAAAGACTTATAGGATTATAGACAAGCCAGGTTATGTTATCGTAGGTTTTGAGTAGGTTGTTTAATAAACATGCTAGGTTGGGAATATTGTTAGTAGGTTATTTTCAAACTTTTTTAATATAGCGTAATCGGTTGTAAGTAGCGTCAGGTTTTAATTAAATTAATTAACTGAGAGATGTGTCATTACGTGCCGTTTTATTTGGGGGATGTGTTAGTAGTTATTAGGAAACAGGTTAATTAAATAGGTAGTTTAAAAGTCTGACAAATAATTTTATCTCCTTATCAACTAAGGACATGGGTTGTTTAGCCCAAAATGTTTTTTTTTAAATGGTTAAAACTAAGTTGGTTAGATAAATGTATTAAAATGTTTAGTGAGTAGACCCCATCATTCCATGGGTGCAATAGGATATTTTAAAAAAGAGCAAAACATTTCATTTAAATCGTATGAGTTAGGTAGAAACTATTTTGTTCTCTTTAACATTTTAACTTCACATTCTTTAATTATTATTATTATTATTATTATTATTATTATTATTATTATTAGTATTATTATTATTATTATCTATAGCAACTTAACCCTCCTCTAACAATCTTTTAATGTCAATTATCTGACCGCTTAAAAAGAATTTAATTGTATTGCCCAACCCTTCAGTAAATTCTATAAACATTAACCAATCTGTAACAATCTATAAACATTAACCAACCATCGACTCTGTAACAATCTATAAATTTTAACCCCTCTCACAATCTATAAACATTAACCACTCTGTAACAATCGATAAACATTAACCACCATGTTACAATCTATAACAAACAAAGTAAATGTCACGCTTTAATAGTATATAGAAAAATTAACACCTTTTAACATCCGTACATATCTATAACTACCAAATAATATATATATTCTTGGTTCGACCACTTAAACAGTCATTAACAGAGAATTAATCAACATCTAAAACTCTAACACAGTAGTTCTCAACATGTAAATGCGTGACGCCGTGATAATATTTACCCAATTGTGGAGACCCGCTCTTGGGAAATTTAAAATGGGTTTAAAAAAAAAATAAAATAGGCGTTGTGGGAGGGGGTGCGTTGAATTGAGCTGAATTAAACTTACAAATTTTTTAATGGCTTATCTTGTATTTTATTTGTATAATTAAAATTTCACATTGAAGCAATTCGGAATCATTTTTAAAAAATACTAGGGTAATAATTTTTTAAGAAAAATATAAAAAAAAAAACAACACATGTTTACTTTATAATTTGCAGACCTAGTGTCATAGGACACTAGACTAGGACATAAAATAAAATGTTACAACATGTCAAGGGACGTTACCATCTTACAAGTTAACGCAGAAACAAAGCGGAGCAACCTCTACAAATGAAAATAAAACCACAGAAAACATCAAACTTACAGGCCCACTTGATGTTCATTCTATTTTTTTTAAAAAAAAGAAAAGAATATTTAAATACTGAATAATATTTTTATATAGCTTAAATTTAGCCACAGTGTAGTGACAGTAAGAAAATATCCCGATCCCAGTAGAGAATATTTAGTCTCAAGCAGCGCACTGTCATGACATTAGGTGATCCACGATGAGGTCACAACCCACAGGTTAAGAACCACTGAACTAACACGTTAACCACTGCTGACCTCAAGTTGGTCAAAAACTTTTTAATCAGGCCACAGGTATTTCTGTGACGGTCCCAAGCCCGTACCAACTGAGAGGGAAAAGTGTTCAATAATGTCCCCACCAACTCCAAAAACGTCAGTTATCTCCCCATCTACTCCCAACACATCACATATGTCCCCATCAACTCATAAAAAATAAAATTTGTTTTCAATTTCACAAAAAAATCTTGTGTGATGTTGCGGAGGTGTTCGGTACACCTGTCAGAGAGGCGGCGTCCAGTTTCCCTTATATACGTCATATGTACGTTATACCGCTTTTTTTTCTGCTGTTTTGTTCGCTGACGAAGGCTTTCTGCCGACACGTTCTCTGTTTTTTGCGGTTATTTTTTCAGATTTAACCCTACTCTGTTTTACTCATTTTATGTTGTACTAACTTGATTGCAGTCTCTCCCCTTATTACCCTATTCAATAACTGACCAGTTACTGAATCTCCCAGAATACCAGAACTTCTCGAGTACTTTCCCTTAGAAAGTTAATGTCAAATAAATGTAAAACTTAAAACACAACTTTTTTTATTTTCATCCAAGGCTACTGCCCATTAAAACAAGGGGGTCGTGCCAAGGCCAAGGCACCCCTGGCCTAGACCTTTCCCGGAATTCCACGGGACACCACAAGTAAAAACAGAAAATTATATTTGTTTGTTATTGGACTGCTTATCACAAATTGCTAGAATACATTCGAAGAGTAGAATAATTGATATGGCTTTTTGGTAAATGTTGACTGAATCTCAGAAAAAATTTATTGAAACTGTGGTCTGTGGTAAGTTTGAATTTAAGTATTTGTTTATTTTTAAAATACAGACAACCCCCCAACCCCCGATTCCTCCCTCCAAAAAAAAAAGGGCAAATGAAGATTGGATGATATCATACTATGGTCGTTTTGGGATCCCATTCCATCGCTCTTTATTATTATTAGCGACGGTGGAGCAGTTACCATCTAATTACGTTTTCTTTTGGTACTGGTTTTAAGAATAATTCTCGTCTATTTCTTTTTGGGTTGTACAAAATTGGGGGGGGGTAAGTATTTTAAAAAAACGTAATATAAAGAGTTTACTCCATAAAAACCACAATTAAATTATCTGCTGAAACTAACATTGCTTATACAACTGGCCAACCTGGCCCTTAAATGTTTTACATAACATTACTTGAACAGGGAGGAACGGTGGTCCTCAGTGCATTACTTTGCCCAGGGCCACCGATGTAGTTTAGACAGTCCTATTGTAGAGATGCTGATCCCATTTCTTTTCGAGCAATGTTAGGACGTCTAACAAAATCAACATGCATTTATTTTGTACATTTCTAATGATCCTTGGCCTAAGGTTTTTTTCAAAAGGTTTGGTTGAATTCAAAGATTTCAACAATTTCTCACTTCAGTGCCATTGCCATACGTTTTAGAGAGAAAAAAAAATGTAATGATCCCATACGTACTGGTTTAATAAATGTTTAACAAATAATAATTTTTCTGCCATGCCATAGGGCAACATGTCTGGTAACTAACAAGCTTCCGAAACTATTACAGACTATCCCATTCTTGCTTCTTGCACTGCTTTGAGATTGTGAATTAAAATTGGCTGAGAACTGCGTTATCGACGCAATCATTTTGATTTAATGTGTCGCCGATTTGCATGAGTATATATTCTTTGACTGCAAAATTTAGGCTGCTGTGACAGTTGATCATTATGTATGAATTTATTAAGCCCGGGAAATGAGTTGACTCATAAGTCGTTAGTCATGATCATGAAATAATTTTGCCGGGCTATACAGATAATCATAAATAATAAAGCGAATGATTGAATGTAGCACAGCTTAGGGATAAAAGTCGAAAATATTTAATCAAACTCATTTATTATTGTTGTGATTATGTCATAAGTATGGCACGTCAATTTTTGTAACGTTCTTAGCTAATAGGTAAAGTGACTCTCGAGTGCATTGATAGATATTAAATATCCATAGTATGGGGTGCTATGTTGTGAACATCAAGAGCCCGGTTAGCTCAGTCGGTAGAGCATCAGACTTTTAATCTGAGGGTCAAGGGTTCAAGTCCTTATCGGTTCGTAAAATTACCTTTTATTAACCGTACATAACTATTACACATATTAATTATAAAGTTATGCTGTATGCATACGACATATTCAATGTCAGTCACTAACGCTAAGTTTCAATAGCTCGAAATATAAAATTCCTGATACCTGCGCTAAATAAAGTATTTTAAAATTCCGCACGTGTGTTTGGTGCGTAATATATCTTTTCTTTTTTCCTTTTTTTTTTTTTTGAACGAAAATAGTTGGTGAAATAAATCTGCGGTTAAACGCGGAATATTAATGTAGTTCAAGGGCTGTGGCAGACCCAGGGGGGGGGGGGGGCTGGCTAGGAATCTTATAGAGTGGGTTACATTGGGTTCCGTGAAATTTTTTTTTTTTAAACGAAAATAGTTGGTGAAATAAATCTGCGGTTAAACGCGGAATATTAATGTAGTTCAAGGGCTGTGGCAGACCCAGGGGGGGGGTGGGCTAGCTATGAATCTTATAGAGTGCGTTACATTGGGTTCCGTGAAATACGCGCACATGACAAACGCGCACACGATAATCGCGCAC